TTTAATGAATAAAAGCCTTGTCCTAGGAGTGGGAAAGAGGAATGCCTTTGATGTTGATTAAATTGTTTATTGTGTGGGTTTGAAGTTACTCTCTACTTGAAGGTCAGGCTGTTTATTTAAAACTGTCATCGTTATTTAGATGACAAATTACTCTAAATTGGGGTCCCCAAAACCGGCATTCATAAACTTAGAATCAAAGGAATACTTGTGAATAAAGTTGCAAGAATTGGAACCCCAACTACGTAAATAATAGTTTAGTTAGTAAATAAAGGCATTCATGGAGGAAATTTATTCATTTCCCTCGTAAACAAATTAAAGGGCAAAGATAGAAATTCGCATAATTCCAGATTCTCAATTTTATATAAGAATTTTATGATATATGTACCTCAATATTTATTGTGTTAATTTACTTTATTATTATTATTTTTTACTAATGGGACTAATTTGTTGTGCGTGCAAATCATTTTTAAGGAAAAAATAAAAATCCCACAATGTGAGATAGGTGTTATCATTATCCAATCAGAATTTTCAAAATTCTATCCGAAACGAACTTGTCGTACTCTTCTAAAGAAATATACGAGGACCACTTCTTGAACTTAAAAGAGATTGTTATTGCCAGAAAGCTGAATCAACCTTATTCGATGCAATCTAGCTATGCCACACCAATAAATACCCAAACAGTAGACAAGCGTAAACTTGTAATTCTAACCCGTTCCCCAAACTGTAAGTGTTTTCTGCGCAGATAGTAATAAATTTGCACCAAACTTTCTCATTCTAACGCATCCGAAAATTAGTCAATCACAAGCATAACTATGATAGATATTTTAAAATATTGGACAATTTTTCAGCTTATAATTACACTTTAATCAACCTAAACTATCAAGCCTAAATAACAAACTGTTACTTATAATTTAAGAGAAAAGGCCTCAAATATTTATTTATTTATATCAAATGGCAGGCGTTTTGATAGTAATCATTAGCCCTTTAGTTGTTTTCGAACTACATGGTGAGGACGAACATAGAAAGTGGTAAAACGGACGAGGGGTAACAGAAAAGTGATTCAAAGATGTAAAAGGCGGAGAAAAGGAAAGATGAGTACTGTGGAAGTGGACGAATATGGCGTACATCAGGGTCATGGTAGTCTGAAGTCAACTGCCGAATAATAGGCTATTTTGCTTTATGAGTATCGTTGCCCAGGGTGCACCACGTGGAGGTTAGCCTATCGCACACCCCATGTTACTTATAACAAAAGAACTGAGAAATGCTAACTTATAAGTTAACTAATAAGTGTCAATATACTATTACTTTAATGCAATCAAATTCAATTCAAGGCTGTTAGGAGATTTTTTGAAAAATTCCGCATTGTTGTCTCCTTTTTTTGCTTTCAGCAAGAACATACTAGAAGAAGCATTCACATTAACTGATGTCAAATATGAACTTATTAGTACAGTCAACTATTGACAACCCCTCTGAATCTGACTCTGAATCAGACAAAAACAATTAGAATTATTTTTAATTATTTGAAATCTTCCTCTGATGAAAAGGTTGTGTTTCCGCATTTTAAAGCTATAATAATGCCTTGAAATCTTGCAATGGAACGATATTCCGCAACTCAATTTCAAAAATCCACTTTATTTTCCCCACAAAGCGTAGTAACTGTTGGTTACATAACAGACTTCAAAATGAATGAACTTGAAAATGACATCAATTATCATATGTAGTTAGGTAGTTACATTTAAAATTCAAAAATTAGTATCTAATCTTCATCCTACAGAACTTAATATATGCCTCAAACTCCAAGCTTCCATTTTCAGCTCAAGTTATTTCCCTTCATAATCATTTCATAATAAATCACTGATAAATTTAGGAAAAATGGCTCCCAATGCAAATAAATTGACACAACTTTGATTAACTACTGAGTTCCATAATCTATTTAAAGAAACAAGGCTAAAACTGAATCACTCTATTTGAGGCTTTGGAATGTTTACAAATTCTTACGGTCTCTATAAGATATTTCCATTGAAAGTAATTAAACTCTTATTTTATTGCATTAAAATAATTAAATAATTAAAATTGGTTCATTTTTTTGGGAGGCTGTCTACATTCGCTCGTGTAGACACCGATAGGTGTCTACTTCTATTGGGTTGCTTTAAAATGCCTTTAAAGTGGTTGCCTGAATAAGGACGGTTTAGTGTATTTTGTAATTACAGATCTGTTAGATCACCTTCAACTTATTTAACTACTGTGGCTTAACGAGCTTAGAACTTGCGAATTCCAAAGTGTGTGACTCTTTCGAAAGCCGGTTGTTCATCTATATACCAGAGTTTTGATCTGGTCGACCTTTTAGAATCATTGATCTATTGCTCCCTAAATATCCCTTGAACCTCAATAATTTTCCATGACTATATGAGGCATTGTAAAATTTCTGTGCGTGTGTGTGTGTGTGATAGGAAAAGGTTCTCGCACTTATTTCCTTTATGGGTGAAACTAAATGTTTGTCCTGATGGGGTATTTTGTACAACATTTATATGCAAGACAAGCAGTCACCTTCCTTTTCTCTCTGAGTTCCGTTTTTTTTATTTTGCCAAAATTTTATGCTCGTTTTAGTCTTTTGTCCCTTTGAATTAGTGTTCTCTTAATAATAAAATAATATTTATGGAACTTTTTCGCCTTCTTCGACTTCCCTCTGATTCATCCGTAATTCATAAATGCCCCCCCCCCTCCTTCATCTCATAAATAACTTCACCGATATAATGAGAGGGAGAAAAACTGAAAGTATCCTTCGCCGATGGCGCTTCTGACAGCAGTCAATTTCTGTCAAAATAATCGTCGGAAAGTTCGGCAGAATTTGCCTATCAAATTAAACTAATTTAATAGTTTTATACCTGGGTGTGTGAGCGAAATCATGCATATTAGGGGAATCCGTGGATCCATTTATGCTATTCATTCGTCAAAGTCATCAGTCCTACGGGGTGACTCACTAGATCAAAAACAAAAACTATTACCCATCTTAATTGTTAAACCTCCGTGGAAAGGACCATTTGCCGACAGTAGAAGGAAAGATTTAATCCTATTCAATATCTGAATTTAGTCAAATTTTACTTCATAATCATGCTTTCTTAGCAGGTGTAGTAATCCATTGTTAAAATAGCTGAATCGGAAAAGTACAAGCTGTTTAGATGAGCGTTTGCACCCAAAATCGGTTTGAAAATGCCTATATAACTTTTAACTCATACGAATTTCTCCCACCACCAGGAATTTTTGTCCAATATTACAGATATTCACTAGGTTCCTTTCTTTGGTAACTTTAATGAGTTTTCGTTGGAGGAAGTGTCATCGCTTAAAAGGCGAGATAGAGAAAAATGAGAGCACATTTTTGTAATGACCATCCCAAAATTCTGTCGAAACGCTCAAGCTGAACATGGGAAACCAAAACCCCTAGATGTGTGGGAATTTAACGCCGTTAATTAGTATGTAATCCTTTGTCAAAATGGCCAAATTCACTTATTAATTAATTAGTTTATTAATGGGTGTCAAAGCTTTCCAGTGTTACCATCCAGGTAGTGGTCAATTCCATGTGTGTACATGCTGATATTGAAAAATGAGTGGAGCAAGGGGGGCCGGTGTGGAGATAACCAAATAGAATAAGCCGGGAGCTTGCAACTACTGAAGCAGGGCTCGAGGCAAAGTTAATGCGTGCGTCAGATCATATTCACTCAAAATGAACGCACTCAGCGCCCATTCTCATATTTTCATTATTATGGGCTAATGATGACAGTCCTAAAGGCTGGCATTTGATATATTTATTTTCACGATTAACTGATGCATTGATAGATCACGAACTTCAAAATTCTTTAGGTTTATTCGGCATTTCACGAATCTGACTTTTATGACAATATCTAACTCGACCACCAAAGCTTTCAACTTTTCTACCCCCCCCCCCTCCCCCACCGATCTGTTATTAGGTAACTCAGTTAAGTATTGCTTCCATAAAATATTCAGCAGTGGACTTCGAACCCCAGGCATATATATTTCGACAAATTCACCCTTTCGTCATGTGTAGAGCATTCTGTTAATTTGACCATGTCAAAGTATGAAGTAAAACACTTCCCACGAATTGAGGATTTGGTATTCGGATAATAAGAAAATGATTGTTTCTACCATTGCCATTATAATATTTTCAATTGCCCTTGAAAACAATCTAAAACTATAGTTCAATTGATGACTGAAAATAAATATTGAGGAGGAAGACGAGTAATGGTTGGTGTATAAATAAAGCTTAACTTTGTCTGAAGTTGGGATTGCATTAATCGCCACTTTCTTTCTTAATAAGTATATCACGTCTTATTTCGATTTTTTTTGGAACGAAGTAGCCCAGCCCCTAAGCCGACTTACCTCCACGTGGAGCACCCTGGATAACGTTTACTCATACGGCAAAAAGTCTATTGACTGGCAGTTGACTTCTCACTTCAAACTACCATCACCTCACTCTATACCATATTCGACTATTTCAACAGTATTCACCTCACCTCTTTTCTACCTTTGTGTTTGTCTCTAACATCTTTGAAACACTCTTCTGTCCCCCCCCCCCCTTCTCGACTTTCTTTCAATTTGATGTTCCTTCCCCTCTGTGAAGTCTGAAGTCAACTAAAGGGCTGATGATAACCATCAAGTCGCCTGCCATTTGTTCTTAATAAGTATATCACGTCTTATTTCAAGTTCATACTTCAGAATGAGACCGTCAGGGTGAATCATGAGGATTCAAGTCCTTTCGTTCACATTTGGTATTGTCGGTAACGCATCTCGTATCACCAATGAGTAAATATTAATTAACTTTTAAATTTAAATTTAAAATAATCTATTTGATTAAATTAATTAACGGAATTTCTTTCTAAGCAATTCGCTTCGCAATTCAAATACGACAATTTTATTTTAAATTTCCATCCTGATTTTCACTTTTTTCTCTCCTCGTCAAAACAGAATTCGCCGATTAGCATCGTTCATGTCGAATCGCCATTCTCCTCTCTGTCCGTTGGACAGACATTCAGACTATCAGAACGTCGTTTCGTGTATCCTCGTGTGTTGTCGGTCTTGTCAAATTGCCGATGACGGCCAAATGGAGGGTGACAGCCCTTCTCTTTAACTCTCGCTTCCCTAATCAAGAGAAAACACCATGATTCAGCAATTCCAACACAGGGATCTGATCATCGCATAAGGAAATGTGCTGACATTTTTCACTGGATTTCACTGCAATTTTCGGGCGACTTATTACGTAAATAGCAACTGTTTGTTTCCAACGCTTCATCTTTTGAAATTTACCGATGTTTCTTTCGCTGCTTTTCAAGAGCGCGCGAAATAACCCCGTTCACCTTCTCATTTGTAAAATTTGATAACTTAAAAAATTACCAATGTACGAACGAATGATCTCATTGTAATTTTCATTTCACTGAACAATTGATCAGGGTTTACTTTAGCACCTATTTAAACTTATTTTAACTGTCCTAACTATTGTCAGTAGTATGACATGGTAATCTCCGCCAGAATAAAACAGTCTGAATAATCTACCTCATAAATTAGCTATATGTATTTATGCATTGAATACAATCGAAATTGCATGTCTGATAACAAACTATGAGTAACAAACTACGTTACTTTATACCTAGCATAGTGGGGTGTGCGATAGACTTACTTCCACGTAGTACACCCTGAATAACGCATACTCATACGTAAAAAAAGTCTATAAACTGGCAGTTGACTTCTCATTTCAAACTACGTTGACACAACTGTATGTCATATTCCACCACTTCCAAAATACTCACCTTACCCTTTTCTCTACCTTTATGTCTGTCTCTTTTTACATCTTTAAATTACTCTTCTGTTCCCCCTCTCGAATTTTTCCCACTTTAATGTTCCTTCTCTCCATTAATCCCGAAGTCAACTAAAGGGTTAATGATAACTATCAAAACGCCTGCCATTTGATATAAATAAATAAATATTTACCATAATGCAGTACTCTTAATCACTAAGCAGGAGATCCCTTTACATGAAATTTTGGTGGTATTATCTGCGTTACCTATAAGGGTAGATCACATTTCGGTCTCTAACACACACACTGGTTAAATGGTTCGGCATAGCGGCAGTTGTCGATAACGTGTGAAATTGCATAGGAACGAGAAGTGTATTCGTCGAAGGAATTCACTTAATTAAATGTTTGTAATGCATAAATTGAGCATGCAACCAATAAGCAGTTCTTGATGGTTAATGCTATATAAACGTGTAAATATAAGTGCAAAAATGCTATAACAGTCTAGATATTTTTATTAACTGTTTGTTATTCTAAATACATTTAATCAGAAGTTAGTTATCCATTGTTATTAGGAATCCTCGTCATTACTGACTCACGAGAAAGAAAAAGTCAAGAACGCCTGTCAATTTCAATCTCGCTTGCCCATCCAATCCATCCGTCTTTGTTCCTCATCTTAAAAAAAGCTGACGAGTCCTTGCTGCCAGCTTGATGAGTGATGTGACAAAACCTTGACGGGCAGCATG